TGCAGTGTGTTTAGGATCCCCGTCTCGTTGAAATACTACTTCGCGTTCCTCATGGTTCAATAGAATCAACTACAGAAGGTAAATTACTTTGTAGAATGTTCAAATAATTTGCGCATTATACCTTCGATTCGACCTAAGGGACCAACACCTTTGTAAGTAAAGCGACCCCAACACATAATCGAACCACCTCAAACTTCATAGTTTGTTTTATACCACCTGGTTGATCATTATTCTCGGATGAAATCCAATACCAGGATCTTCCGTCGGATTCGAATCTATTAATTATTATCAATTATCAATTATCTAGTAATTATTTAGCTTTCAGTTATGTTAAGCATGTATTTTATTACACTAGTTCGCATCATAAATACATAAAATCTAAAATACATTGCTCACCACCGAGAGTGTTTTTGACGACAAGTTCCACGCTAATGGTTGCCTCTCGCTTAATTTTAAGATTATTTAATTAAAAACAAAGAAAAAGCGTATACCTAGATATATGTAGGTTCATAATGTGCACACACCCATATTTCGACGAAACAAATAGTCTGTGAAATAAAAATTCTGAAGAATGACGTTGATTTTGACCGTCTAGGCTGACATGTCACCTTAAGAATTTGCCAAGTATGCAATAATATTTTCTTGTAATTGCGTAACTAGGGCTTCATCGGGGGTACATGAGAAACGATCTGGTATCCAATGGCGTGTCGAGGGAACGGGGTTCTCGGATATAGTGATTAAAGCGATACTTCCGCTGGTCGTTATCGAGCCGCGAAGATAGCATCGCGGTTCTCGATCACTGTCAGGACGCGAACCCTCGACACCATACCAGAAAACTCCCATACCGATGTACACAATATTCCTATGGGGGTTCGCCAAGTTTCTGCCTTGTCTTCCATACTTTATAGGCCAATCGGTAGAGAATTAAAACAGCGTTTTCGTGAGAAAAATACTAACAGCAAACCGATTGTGCAATTACATAAAAGGGGATGAGTAGATCAATAGGTATATGTCTTTCACTCCCAACTCTGTTCCGTTTTCTTGTTATCACAATTTCATCCAAACAAATCGTGATTTTTATCGTTTTTTTTTTTCTTATAAATTTTAAACTAACGCAGCAATATCAATGCTCGAAGCAGATGAAACGTAGACGATGAAAACAGCTAGAGAATGAGACGTCGAATGTATCGATCGGATAATCCTGAATTTCATACGACTTTATTCTAACGTCATTGACTTTGCAACGAAGGCAATTCGATAATCGTTCATAAATTGTGATTTATTCGTAATCCTACAGAACACATTCCTGCTAATTGCTACGTTATTGAATATTGATGTAATAGCGCAAATACACGCAATACGATCGTTACAAACAGAGGAAAAGCGTGTATGACGCAATGATGTCGGCGTACGAGCAATTAAACGCGCTGGGACCGCGATCACCTTGGTTAATGAGAATAGCACTCGAGACGGAATATTTTATTTTCCGTCGTTTTTATTATTTCACTGGCAAATTAAGCGTAACGATACCGTATAATGTTGCTCCGAAGTGGCCGCATTAAAATATAGGAGAGCTCTCGGAAAATACAAGTATTCAAAAATGTTCAATATTGTTTTTAATATAATTGCACGCATTTTATTTTGTGCTTAATCAAATGTTTGCCCTCTTTATCCTCTCTAAATCTATAAATCTTTACCCTCCTTCGACTTCTAACCAAATAAAACCCTTAAACTTAAGATATATGTACAATTAATTATATAATTACCTACATAAAATATTATGCATGTATTGAGCACATCGTCCCACTGTCATTACCTAAATAGTTCTTAATTTTATTAAAAATGTCGAAGTTTGTAAAATGTTTGTTCAGGGCCCCTAATATAAAAAAAATCTTTATTAGAACAACGTCGAAGGCACGTTCCTAAAGTTATATTGCACCCTGTACGGTGTTTTTAATTGCAATCTTATCATCCCTACCGTCTCAGACACGTCTTTCAAGCAGTGTCCCACGGGAGAGAGGAACCGATGCCGTAACTAATCGTTCGGCATGCCATTAATCCATTTATGGGCTCGTAATATGCATCCGTACCCGTGAAACGGTTTAGGGGATGGTTTGTGGTAACTCCGAGAAGAACGAGGAGGGAATACAGACGCGCAGAGAGCAACGGTGCAGGATAGAGGAGCAGAGAAAGAGGCGGTATAGGCGAAAATACGAGTGCAACTCGATCCCGGCTACGTGTATGCGAGTTGAACATTTGAACATCGGAGTTTATGGTGCGGAGTATCATGGAAGGTAGTAGGGTAGGCGGGTGTCGAGCCTCATTAGACAGAACGGGACCCCATGCACTGCTAGGGGTTGTCGCCTGGGACTCGATGGGAGCGTGCACGACGAACAGAGAACTAACGACGTTACAGCCTCGTCGACTTTTCTTTTGCACCTACGTTTTTGATCCTTGCATTCGATCGACAGATGGACGGGCTGGAAGAGGTCACCGTTTGTTTTTTAGGGTTGTATCGGTGAACCGAGGCGCGACCAAGCACTGTGGATACCGAACAATGGACTCGGTCTTCTTTTCCTTTCAGGTTGACGTGGTTCCAGGGAGAATTTCCCTTGGGAATGCAGTGAAAATTTACTTTCCTTTCGTAGTTGTTTCCCTTCCCGTGAATACATGCGTTCTTGAAGATGTGGTCAGTGAATATTATGATTGTAAATGCTTGTATATGCGTAATCGATGTATAATAATTATAAACGAGAATTCTCATTGACAATGCTATTAAAATATTTACTTTCCTTTCGTAGTTGTTTCCCTTCCCGTGAATACATGCGTTCTTGAAGATGTGGTCAGTGAATATTATGATTGTAAATGCTTGTATATGCGTAATCGATGTATAATAATTACAAACGAGAATTCTCATTGACGATGCTATGAAAATTTATTTTCCTTATGAATCTTATGGATTGTTCAAATGATAAACATTTGGATGCATACGTACTCGAAAATGTGTTTGGTGAATTTTATATCAATTGTAATATATAATTGTAGTGGGAAGGAAAAAATCTCATTGAACGGATGAGCGTTAACGACAATACTTAAATATAAATATAAACTTGTATTTAATAACTTTTAACTCATTTGATTTGTGTCTCGTAAACTTTAGGGCATTGTTAACGGATGAGCGTTAACGACAATACTTAAATATAAATATAAACTTGTATTTAATAACTTTTAACTCATTTGATTTGTGTCTCGTAAACTTTAGGGCATTGTTGAAGACATAAAGTAATTGATTTCGTTCATTTCAACAAAGATTGAAAATCGATTTTTGTCCTGATGTCGCTCATTGTGCCACGTGTCTCTATCAGTCACCACTCTATCAGTTCGATCGATGCGCTGCGACTATTCCGATTTCGCATGCGAATAATTTTAAAACCAAAAGAAATAAGAATTAAGTCTTATTCTGTTATTGGGAAACAAAATTCCCAAGCCCTGTTTGGAAAACTCTTTCTTTACTCCAGGCATAAATAGGATAATCCCATTGCTACTTACCGGGGTTACCTCGTCTCCTCTTTCTTTCGACTTCCTGTTCTTGGTCTCCCCTTTTCCTCAGTTCCCTCTTTTGTCAACGAATAATTGACGAATCATTCGTTTTGTCGTCGAATGATCAGACCCTCCGCACTCGTGTTTCACCTCTGTTTTATTTGAGTTGAAAGAGTACGCGATTTACCTCTTGAACGGGACTTGAGGCATTGTAACAAGTGCGGCTCCCTTTGAGCCGTGATGAACGATTGCTTGGAAGACAATTGCTTTCGTTATTCATTGAATTCTCGAGGGATTAAGATTGTCGAATTAACGATAGCTTGTATCTACGTAACAACAAGCTACAAATTCTTGCGCGTTTCTTCTAATTTTTCTTGAACTGTCTTCTCTTTTAAGCCATTCTACATTCTTATTTATTAACCCTTGAAGGGGTCGAAGTTTC